GCCAATCATTCTTTCATAATTTCTTTCTGCTACTCTTTCATTAGCTTGTTTTGCAATTTCTCCCAATTCCATGTTTTCCATGGAGCTTATTCACAGAGGAGATTTTTGCCCAAATTCAGTTACGTGCATCTATCTGCACTGTTACGAACACCTCACATAATCATGTGAGAGGTGACAGGGTCTCTCACTTGATGGCAGACTTGGATGAAACACTCCAGTGCTACAGGTTTCTTTACTCACTTGAATGCAACCACACCAAAATCCTGGGCGTACACAAATCCTTGAGACAATGTAGCTATTCGCTCTTTTTTTTCTTCCCCTACACCTCACTAAGCTCCCTGCCTCCCTAGCCTTATTTAAATTGTGTTAAATATAAGAAAGGAACTACATATAACAGGTCTTACACATACTGTTGAGGTCAATGACATTTTCCAATCCATTTCAGTGAGCCCAACATACTGCTCTAGAACTCAAAGTTCTCTGGACCTTAATTTCCCACTGGATTTTCTACAGACACCTGTATCTGTACACAGAGATATCGAATTCTCCAAATCAGAACAGCAACTGTTTATATCCACTCTGCAAAATGGGGATAGCTACACAACGAATGAAGGCCATGAAGAATCAAGCATCCCCAGCCAGCTGCTTCAAAAATCATGAGATTAACAGCCTCAGCATCTATCAAATCTCAGTCCCTTTCCTTGAACACCATCACCAGTTGGATATCTGCCCCCCTGAGCTACACCAAAAATTGAACTGAAGCTGCTGATCTTAAAACCTCAAAAAAGAGTCCGTGAGCTCACAGTACCAACTCAGCCGCATTTGGACACACACTCATCCCAGCCCTGCTTGGAGGGACAGTGGCTTTGTGTTGAAAGCCCAGTGCCATTATCTGCCTGCCACTCCTGGGGTCCCAGGATGGCCCCTTCCCTCGTGGACAGATGGCTCGGCCAAACTTTGGAGGGAGCCCGAGCAAGACTCCCGTGGATTTCGGTGGGAGCTGGAAAACGGCCAAGGTGAATTTCCTCTGCAACATGCTATTTCCCGCTACAGAGCTTCTTAGACAAAGCTTATCACCATGGTATCTAAAGTACTGCTGGTACAGGGAAAGGCCAGCTTGAACGCCACCCAAAATTAATGTCTTTGTATAACACTAGCTTCATCACATCTGCTGCTTCCTTCACCTTCTTCCGTCCTTGGCCTCCCATTTCTTTGCCTTTTACTCCCCAAATAAAGCCATATGTTGGCCAATGGACATTACTGTTACTACCAGTAGAAGTGAAGAGTGCAAGGCAGACTTTCCTGCTGCTCTTAAATGTCACTGCATAATAAAAACATTACATATGACTGTTCTCAGAAATATAGGCTCCTGACTGCACCTTTTCATGAAAATGACAGGAAGGGCAGAGTTCTGTTCATGAGTCCAGTCTCCTTAAGATGAGGTTATTTATTGCTTGATCCGGGCTTAGAAACTCACCTTTTCCCACCTTCCTGGAGGAAGGTGTGGGCCCAAAGCCCACCTGGGGAAGGTACAGATGGATACCAGCCAGACAGGACTAATTTACCACATTAGCCCCTGTGGAAGCAGCACAGAGAAGCCATATCATATCAGCCAAAAGAAATGTGTGCGATGAGCTAGTTTATCATTAACCTGTAGAGCACACACTTCTGCATTGTTGTACAGCTTTCTGCAATAATTTCTAACACTCAGAGGCCTGATTTTCATTTTGATATGATTTATAAAACAGATTTAAAATTCAATTTTATTTCTAGAGGGTATTTAAATGAGTTGAGTTTTAATCCAACAGATAATATAAATAACTTCAGCAGAAGAGAAGTGATTTACGCATCTAATACAAACTGGATACTCATCACACACCTCATAAGAAATATTTTGTAATGGACAGATAAGGAAATACAAAGATACTAAAGAAATTAAAACAGTAAAAGAATATAAGCACAGATGATGCAGCTTTCCAATACCTCCTTAAATCACCTACCAAACAAACCTGAAGCATTCTTATAACTGGAAAGTTAGCTTAGACCGATTAAATAGAGGTCAAATTGAATCAGACCACAGCTATTAGATGTGTAGGTACAGCTCACTACCACCAGAGCCAGAGACAAGCAAGGCACTTTCTTGGTTGTGTTAGCCCGTGGCTTGCAACACCACAAGACAAATCAGGTGGTATTTTCAGACAAAGATTTCTACAGCTAGAAATGTGTTACATTGTGGTTTTCAAACAGCTAAAGCTTAAGTTCTGAGACTGTTGAAGTAACACCAGTTATCAGATATGCCTGGTAGAAGAAAATGGTGATTTAGGAAAAGATTTGTTCCCTTCAAAGTAAATATTTGTCCAGTGAGATCCTTAACAGTGGCTTGACCCAAAAACAATGGTTTTAAGCCAGCAGGAACCTTCACATTGACTTCAATGGGCACTGAAGCAATTTTTTTTTTCCTGGACACCTTTTTTTTCTTTTTTTACAACATTGTTTTCACATCCCCTGAATTACAGGCATTAATTTTTTTAACACATGTAAATTACTTTTGTAAAACTTGACACTAACTTGCTGCCCAGTAAGCTGAACTAAAACAACAGTTTAAATAGCTCAGCTCACAGCTAATAAGCAATTTAAATAGCTTTGCTGGGCTCAAGTAGCTATATCAGGTTTCATAGCACCATCAGTCACTGCCAAATCCATAGGCAGCATTTAAATGAATCACTAGCAATGGTCACCCCCAGGAAAAAAAAAAAAAAAAAAAAAAAGTAAGAGCTAGGAGTCAAGTTATTGTCACAATTTCTGTGAGAACATAGCCATATGTGACACTAAAACATGCCCGGGAAGAAAATCCCACTGGAATGCCTGGGACAAAATACATTCTTTCAACTAAGAAAGACTGAGCTCTGTGCTCTGACCACAACATGCTTCACAAAGACAGACAAATAGAGAGGTGCCCATTTCACAGAAGGAAAAGCTGGAGCACACAGAGGCAAAGGATTTGCCAACAGAGATGGAACAGGGATGAACCAGGGCAGGTTGCTCCTGTGCCATGTGTGCTAAGCCATGGCTGCAGTAACACTATCACAAATGTACTTCCAAGTTCTCTGTATCAGAAAGGTGAATGGCAAGTGAGACACTGGCAAAATGTACATCCAAAAAACACCTTGTCTGCACTCTGTACAGAGTGTACGAGTGTGTACAACCCACGCCGAAACCCTGGAAATGAATGTTGCTGGGAGCTTGACATCACGTGCACCACTGTAAGACTGAAATAACTTACTTGAAATGAAACACATTAAATCAGGGTATTGAACTAGACTGGTGAATGTGCCTCATACCTGTACAAGCCTGCATGACCCAACACAGCGCAGGTAGCGGCGTGGACACGAGCACAACCAGAACGCCCAAAAGCCATCACGTCCTTCGCAGCTTGAACAGCTCTGGAGGCAGAGCAGGACCACGCCAAGCCCAGAGCTACGACTGGCTTCCACAAGGGGGTAGGGGACCACTGCAACCTTCCTCTCAGTTCTCGCCAAGCCACAGCTAAACTTCTCAGCTAAACTGATCTACCAGCACGGACATGGTTAAAAATGGTGCCAACATAAATATTTGCCTTTAGAGATGCCCAGGCAAAACGACAGAGACAAATTTCCCTTGGACGGATGTTTCTGACCATCCTGGACTCAGCGGGGCAGTGCTGCTCCAGCCAGGTTTTGATGCTTCTTTCTCCAACCTTAAGGACAGTTTCTGTTTTATTTTCCAGTGGAACTTTACACAATTAAGAAGCAGATGAGCCCCTTGTAATCCTGAAGTGAAACACGGGGAGGTACTCACTTAGATCTTATTTCTCCCTCTTCCCCTGTACTTCTGTTCAGTACTCCTAGGTATCAAATTCAGACACATGCATGGCATTTTAATTCATTATCTATACTGTTTCAAATTATATCACTTTGACAAAAATAAACAAATCTATAGTGGAAGTTCGCATAGTTGGAAGCAGCATGAGGAAGCTCAAAAACTGGAGAACAATTCTTTGCCACAGGGGGCTGAGGAGAGGCAGAGAAGAGAAAAGGTGTAAGAGAACATAATAGGATAAAAATAAAGCAAATTAAACGTGTGGGTTTGGAATCCCCCAAGACATTCTGGTTGGGAGGATCTCAAATCTATATATAGTTCAAGCCAAAAGCATAATGCTAACCTCTGTTTTCTGATATTTAGTTCACAAAGTGCAGTAATGCCAGCATTTGGCTTTTGTCCCCTTGTTAAAGTTAGAGGATAGGAAAAATGCAGGACTGATTTTTGGAAAGATCAAGATGAATTCTCTGAGAGGCCATCACATGTGATCAGAGACTTCTGGCATGTTAAAAACAAACAAACCAAAAAAAAAAAAAAAAAAAGGGGGGGCGGGGGGGGGAAGGGAATATTTACACAAATTGGCGAACAACTGGCACAGTTCAGGCAAGTTTATTGTGTGCCTCCAGCAGCCGAGGGCTCTCGCTGAAGCAGAGCATAAAACATCTGACAATGAACTCGCTGCTCAGAGCGGCGCGCACAGCCCGCAGCTTCCCGGCGAGGGGCCGGACCCCGGCCCCGCACCAGCCTCCCCCGGGCCGCGACACCCTCAGCTCCTCCCCGCCTATTCCCGCGGGGATTTTGCCATCGGTACGGTGCCGGGGGGGGTTATTCCTCCGCTGCCTGCCCGCTCTGCCGGTAGCTCGGGCGGGAGCCTCCCCGCCGCCGCTCCGAGCGGGCGGTAAATGATTAATCACGTTATAAAACGCGGGTTTTGGGGAGCGCTCCCAGGGCAGCCGGGCTCTCCCAGCGCTTGGCGGAGGCCGGGCGCACCTGCGGCGGGGCCGGGGCGGGAGGCGGCGCCCACGCGTGGGTCGGGGCGCGGGGCCGGGGCGGTAGAGGCGGCGCCCACGAGGGGCCAGGGCGGGACGTGGCGCCCACGAGGGGGACGGCGCCCACGCGTGGCCGGGGCTCGGCGGACTCACCCCATGTCTCGGCACCTTTCGGAGGCGGCGGCGGCGGCGGCACCCCCGGGAGGCTCCCCGCGCTCGGCGGCCAGCGGCGGCCGCGTCCCCACTTCGCACATGCGGCCGCTCCGACACCAACACCGGCCCCGGCCCCGGCTGGCTGCGGCTGCACGGTGGCGGCGGCGGCGGCGGAGAAGCGTCCTGCTCCTCCTCCCGTCGCCTCCCTCCCCCCTTACATAACCTCCCTCCCGGGCGGCGGCGGCACCGAGCAGCCTCCCGCGGCACCCGCCGCCCTGCGAGGCGGCAGCGCGGGGGCGGCGGGGCGGGGCGGGGCGGGGCGGCGGGACGCGCCCCCGGGGCCCCTCCGCGGGCCCGGGCAGGCGGCGGCGGCGGCGGCAAGAGCGACCCTGCGAAGGTTTGTGACCCGGCTGGGGAGTCAGAAGCCCCGGCGGGAGGCTTCGGCATCTCGTCCGCCCGCTGCCCGGCGCCGGGAACTGCCGGAGGGGGGACGGGGCGGCGAGAAAACTTCGGGTGAAGTTGTGCGGGTGCCCCCCGAGAGGCCCCGCCCGCTGCCGTGAAGTCCCGACGGGGCGGGGTATGAGGGGGGGGCCAGCCCAGACCGGCGATCCCGGACACTCTCCTCACGGGACCGGCTGTCCCCAGAGCGGCTTGTCCCGCCGGCAGCCCCGGCTCCGCGGCGCGGCCACGGCTGCGGCCCGAGAGCGGGTCCCGGGGGTGCCCTTCCGACCCCGCGGCGAGGAGGCCGCCGAGGCATGTCCTGTGAAACACAAGCAGGCGGTTCCCTCCCGGCACCGACCCCTCCCCACGTCTTTTCACGCTTTGAACCCGTTTCCCCGGGGAAATGAAGAGCGCAGGCCATTTGTGCGTGCCTGCTCCCGCCGTCCCGAGGAGCCTTCGAGCACCGGGGCAGCGCCAGCCAACGCGGGCCACGGGCCCCGGCGGACTCAGCCCCGCAGCCCTGGTCCGGGTCTCGCACCCAGACACCACCCCTGCTCAGAAGGGCAAATTGCGGCAGGGGGGCCGACTCTTTTAGTCCTCCTCGGCCCCCCTGCAAACCTGTGCCAGACATGGTCCCAAAGCTATTGCTTCCCTAAAGGCTTCATGAAAATAGAGGGATAGCGCCTTTCCATGGAAGGAAAAATTGCACGAGTGTGGAAGAGCTGTGTTATGGTGCCCAACCACGAGGGTGGCACTGGCCTCTGACAGGCAACCACAGGACACAAATCCATAGGAAAGCCACAGACCTCCTCCTTCGGGTATTTGTAGGACTGTGCTACACAGACACAGTTTTTCTTTTGTGGGGAAAAGGCACCCAATTCACACATAAGAGAGGATTTTAACTTCTCCCACACAAAGTTATAATTACTACCCTGCCATCAAGAGTGATTATCTTTTTTTTTAATCTCATGTTGATTTATCCTTTCTTTCAAAGAAAGTTTAGAAGTTGTGGGAGAGGCTTCATGTTTGCTTGCTTTAACTGTGTGTAATAACTGGAGTTGTCCCCAGTAACACCTGGGGACCTCATGGGAACCCTCAAAGGAAAACTTAACCAGCAACCTGACACCTTCCAGCTATGGACAACAAAACTGTCTACCGCTCTGACAGACAACTATTTCCTGCTGTCTGAAACACCAAAATGGAATTTCAATCCCATACACTCAAATAAAGTTTATGCTGGGGGGAGGGGGAGGGGGAGGGGGAAGGGGAAAGCAGGGTGAATTACACAGACATTTTCAAAAGGCTGTGGGGTGACACCACACCAACGTATTTGCTTTCTTTACTGTGGTCAGACAGTTACTGTGGATGTTGAAGGAGACTTAACTCCTTACCTAATCACTGATGTCTAAAGACTTTCCCTGTCTTGTTCTGCCAGCTGAAGGCGATGTTCCATTTCCTCCAGGACAGTCATCGCAAAAGTGACAACACTTTCGTGTTCATGATTTGCTGCAGCCTTGAATATTGCTTTGGTATGACCATTCCTCTCTTCTTGGGGAAACAGCAAGGGGTAGCATTCTCTGAGGGAAAAAATTAGAAGGTTACCAGTCTTGTGGAAGAAACTCCCACCATACACTGGATAATTTTATTTCACTGTTTTTACACCATTTACTTAATTTTGTTAAATTATGTACTCTATTCATCAGAGAGGAGTTGACTTAGTCCTCTCTGATTAATTAGCTCATTTTGGTGAGTATCCGAAAGCTGTGTTTTATGAACCAGTGCTGCATGTGACTTACAAATATCTAATGGAATTGGATCAAAATGGGGTAATGCACTTACTACATGTGTCATGATAAGATGAAAATTGGAAATTGGAACTGTAGCTGCCTTAGCATTTTCCAGTGTTTTAATCTTTTCCAATCTTGCATTCAAGAGTGCATTTTCATCCCCAATTATAAAAAAGGCTTAAGCTTAGGGAAGCATAATTGGCTGTGAAATTCGCACGATAGAAGATGTTGTATATTGCTTTTGTTTATAAGGTCTTTCCATTTGATTTATGCTCTTTTCAGAGCTGTCTTCTAGAACAGAGTTGTGGTCCCATTTCTCAAGGACCCTGAGACCTTTGGTCTGGCAGACAGCAAGTTAACCCAGTTTTCTGCTCATATTTGGGTTTCTGTAAGTGCACTCCCTTCATCTGAAATTCACTCTATTCTTCCAAATGGATGAGATATTCCTCTTTCTGAAGTGTGGCACACTGTTGTCCTCTTATCTCTGCCAAAAAGAGGATGAAGTCCTGTCCTTGATTTAAGTCAATGGTAAAAGTCCCATGGATTTGAATGAGGCCCAGATCTCATGCAAATCATTTAACATTATCAATATTGAATGAAGCAATTGCTCTACAGACAGTTCCACATTGAACTCCTCCATCACAAAGAGTTCTAATTCATGTATAGTTTCCACTGACTTACATTATTTTAGTATAATTTAGTATTCCATTTGCTTAAAGTATTTTGAGTTCTCTGTAAATGAGAACTATAAATACGCTATCAAAATTAATCAGTTCTTAAGCTTTCATATGTGACATGATATTTCACTTCCGATTTGGCTCTGGTGCAGGATGTGTACATGACAGTAATTCAGTCCTCATTTAGTATTCACAAGAGTGCTCTTATTACTGTGGCACTGTTAGGAAGACTCGAAATACTCAAGGCACAGGATCCCTCCGTATGATTCAAGCTGAGCAATAAAAATATCCACATTCTGTAAATGGATGTAACTTCTTTAGATGAGAAATTTCACCTATTCCCATGGGCCTCCTAAAGATATAATTTTTTGATTCCTAGATACAGGGTGAATATCCTTTTCAGAAAACTGATCTAGCAATCAGGAGTATGTACCCAGTCTGCATTCTGAAAAGCAAAGAGCTCACCAGTCTCTTCCTCTCTCTGTGTTTCTGTTCTCTTCTTTTGTTTGGCTTTCACTATTGTCGTCTCTTTCCACTCTATTTTATTTTAGATATAATTTACTTTCATAAAACCTGCTGTTTAGTCTTTTTCAACTATTATACTCTTCAAAATAGTCTTCTCCCTGTTTCCCATAGCAGATAGTATTAAATAAAATATTCAATACTGTGATTTTCTCCTTTTTCCAACTAAACTAGGCTGATGACATTTGCATATTTTTACCCCAACAGTACCATGCCATTTCCTTCTATTTTTTTTTTTTTTTTTTTTTTTTTTGCTTTGACAAATAACCAACCATTTTCAAGCTTTAAATGTTATCCAGGAGTTTAACCAAAAAAAGCTTTGGGGAATTCTTGGTTTTTGCATTTGAAACAGAGAATTAGTTTTCAAAATCCCCTGACAAATGGAGAATTAATGTAATTATAATATCACTGGATATAAAATTTTAAAGATGAGCAACTGAGAAAAGATAAGATTTTAAATCAGGCTGTTGAAAATGCTGTTGTTTATGACTTTTGTTGTTAAAACCTATTTAATCCATTATCCAATAAACAATTTGGACAAAAGATCTATTTGTTTAAAAAAATCAACACTCCTGTCCTTTCAATTAAAATGTCAGAGCTCACAATAAACATCTGAGACCTTCAACAAGTCCTCCAGGAAGACATAAGATTTCTAAGGTAAAAGCAGTTTTTCTCTCCACTCTCCTCCAGAAATAAACTTTCTGTGTCTTTAAAAGTAAAAAAGAAGACCGTTTAAAAGTGTTTTATCAATCATCTTTAAAAGAGTAGGTTGAACATTCTCTTATTATTCTTTGCAGTTTATTCTTATATGTGTAATTACTTAGTGCCAGGAAACTCCTGTCTAAGTGGAGTAATAGAAGGTACACAAGCGGTTTCTACCTCACTTTGAAAAAGTTGTCCTGTGAAATATGGGAATATCAGTTCAAAGAAGGTTTTTATGTAAATGCAAAGAGCTGTCATTGTCACACTGTAGTATATGCTGCCTTCTCAATGAAGACAAATACATAGCTAACAAAATAATAATATTAAATAAGATTTTAGAGAGAAAAGACACAGACACATAAAGAAAGCCAGCAAAAGCAGAACAATACCCTGCCAGCCACCACAGGTCTCCCAGGCCTGAATGCGAGTACCCAGCACAATGCTGAAGACTGCAAAATTGTAAGAGGCTGATGGATTTCTAATAATACTGACACAGTCAGAGAATATCTGTTAGCATTAATAAACATTTTGGCACAGATTGTCTAGGCATCCTCCGTACTTTAGTCTACTAGAAATCCATGCTGGGACACATCCAGGAGTGCACACTGAACCTGAACATTAGTAAAGGTAGTCCCATACTGGGAACAAACCTTGTTCCCTTTAACAGACCTATTTCTTTGTACTTACAATGTAAGACAGAGAAAACATATACTCCCAATTCTCCTTCTTGATGTTTTCATTGATGTAGACACTTTGATTATGTCCACTACACTGTAAAGTAAATAAAATTGGTCACTCTTCCCATGACAACTTTTTTCTGCACCTAGGGTGTCTTGTTGCTTTTCTCTGAAATCATGTTAATTTTAACTGGTTTTGCAATGGACAGACTGGGACTCTACAGAGTAGGTGAGGAGCAGTATGTATAAAAGTCTCCTTACAGCTTGTATTTGAGTCCATATACTTGTTTCATATACATCCTAATACTGACTTTTTTTTTTTTTTAGCAGATATGCAAGAGTGGAGATCTTCATAAAGCTACTCACAGCAATGCACAGGTCTCCCAGCTGATCAGCTGGATCCTGAATTGCTCATCAAAACTGTACCAAATGTGTTCAGTTTTTCCCTTCCAA